TAGGTACTTATAATATAGCAGAGTATCAGTTCCTTTCTTTGCCCTATTCCCATGACTGCTCAGAAACCTAATATGCAATGGTGGTATACTCTGAATGAGGATTTGGAAAAAGATAAAAATACAAAGCAATCCTTGGTCCATGTTATAGATCACAGTCTGTCAGACAAGAAAATACAAAGACCTCCTCCTCCCACGTTAAGTAAATTTCTTGATTAGCCTATCTGACTGCTCCTGGTAGTGTTCTGTGGTTGCAACTCTTTTGTCTGTAACCCTTTCCAGCCCATGTGAAGGGGCATGCTTGGAGTTAAACAGCTTTCATATCTTGTGTTTTTAATACAGGTTCAGAGCTTGAAAATTGCTCTACAGTTCTAAACAATTGTAAGATTCCCATAGACTAGGCTTGTGCTTTCTTCGGTAGTACAAACAACATTGATGACAACTTAGTTGGCTTCTAGTCTTTTTGTTCTAGCGACCTCAGCCCTAAGATTTAGTCTAGAGATCACTCTTAAGTCTAACATCTTCTGTATTTACTGGATTCTGAATTTAGCCCATTCTCATCTCACTCATTGTAAAGGTGAGTGACTTGAAGACGTTGCTGAGAATAGAAAATTTGATGTTATAATGGTAGTGGCTATTGCTCATTTCTTCATTGTCTGTCTGTACCTGTGGCAGAGGCTGCTGGCTCACCACCAAAGTTCTGTCCTTGCATTCCAAGCTGACATCTTGCTTTTGGGCATGACTGCCTAGCCAGGGACCATTTTTGCACCTGTGTAGAGCCATGCGACTAGTTCTTACCGGTAGGTTGTGAGTGAAAGTAGTATGTGTCACTTCAAACTTGCGATTGTTATAACTTGGTTGTTCCTTCCCCTGGGAACTTCCCTCCCTCTAGCAGATGCATGTCAATGCCCTAGGTGACCTTAGAAACCAACTGTTGAAGGATGCAAAAGCTGCTCCAGCTGTAGGTCTCTGAATACCTGTTTGGAGCTGGATTTATGCCCCTGTGACAGGTAATACCTAACTTAAGTCTGTTACATGAGAGAGAAATACACGTTACTCTGCAGAAAAAGACAATCTGAGATTGCTCATTAAGTCATTTTGTTTTACCATAGCTAATATAGAATCTCTGTTCATATTTAGGGTATTTGCCAGGTTGAAAGCTTTGCTGGGGAGCAGAACCCATTTACTACCTCAAAATCTGAAGAGGATGGGTACTTGCTTCTAGATGTACTGGCACCTTGGTATGGATACATAGTCCTCACTCGGTTGATGAGACTTACCTGGCCCTTGATGGGGGAGCTGTGACACAAATTAGGGTCTGTGTAGAAATCATGCTAGGATGGTAGTGTTGGGCAGCAACACTCAGATCAGATTCCTGGAAATTTTGGGAGCTTTGCAGTACACATTTATTGAATTAATGTTGGCTTAAAAAAAATCCAAATTCATTATCTTGGCTTGCAGTTCAGAACCATGACTAATACGCCATAGGAGATGACTGAGATTACAAAAATAATTCACATAACATCAATTAGATCTGGACAATAGAACCAGGCTTGGCTTTTATAAGCATTTTTGAGTATATGAAATTTACTTTTTTTTAATCTTCCTATGAGACTAAACATGTGAAGTCTTTTAGAATTAGAAAAATGCATTTTAAGCTGTTAATTGGAAATGCAATCAGATGTCATTAGAAATAGTCTTTGTATCAAGAGACTCAGCCCTCAATTCATCATTTTGTACTTTATTTCCTAGCAGAAATTTTAAGAAAACTGATACTGTATTATTTTTAGACCATGTGAACTAGAAATGGCCCTACAGTCTGCATATTTTCTCAAGAATATTGCAGTAATCTGAATTAATGTATGGGTCCATACCTCTTTAAAATCAGTAATTAGTAACTGACCTAGCACATCCCAAATGTCACATGAATTAGAAATGTCACCCATCCAATAGATGTAGTCAAAGATACACCCACTGTTTTTTTTTTTTTTGAATCAGGAAAAAAACGAAAGTGATCATGATCACCATGAATGATGGCATTTGGAAGTGGGATGTTCACATTATAGGCTGTCATTTCCACTCCTTTCTCTTATCATTCCTAAATCTCATTGAAAAGCAAAAGGGACATCTGAAGTGAGCATCATTTCACTTTTTGCAGGGATTGTGGAAGCTCTGATTTCCTTTCATGTAGCTTTCACTGTACCTCATAAGGAAACTGATCACTTCAGGGAATTGCACTGTATGGTTATTATCCTTTTTACCATTTGACCTTCCATATTTCTGAGCCTATATAAATAATGTGCCACATACGTGCCACAATGGGATTTTATGAGAAACTAATTAGTAATATTGCAGAAGAAAGTCTATTATTTAATTTTAACATAATATAAATATCTTAATTTAATGTAACCAAGGAATGTTTCCTAATAGTAAATATCTCAGTCAACTTCTAAGATGACATTAGTATTTTTAAATATAAACCATCTGAGATGATAAACTATATTAAAATAGAATGGTTTGGCTCATGCTGTAAATTATGGCCCTTTTGTTCTGTCTTAAAGAAATAAATGTTATGGAACATAGTAATACATACCACAGTTAATTTCAGTTAGTAATTGTAGTGATAACAGAAATCCTAGGTAAATGTGCTCTGCAAATAATTCCAAAATCTAATTTAAATGTGACTTTCAGATTCCAGTTTTGTTAAACCATTTTTGAAATTCATTGGTTGACCACTGTCAACTCACGGAGGCCTCTGTTGTATTGACAGTGGTAACTAATCTCACTTCTCAAGCAGCAAAACAATGGTATCAGTCTGAGTCCAGTTGGGAAAGGGAACACAATGTTTTGAATAGGGAAAGTTCATTTTTCTAATAAAGAATTGTTAAGAATAGCAGGAATTGGAGTAATGAGGGATTGGCTAGAAGTATAAAAAACTAAGTAATATTGAAATGCCAGATAAAATATTACGTTGTTTAATGTTTCATAACTGCCACCCCTAGGACAGAAGTAGGTAGCCCAAGGGAGAGACTTACCAGTCCCTCAGTGCCCCTGGATTGAGATCCAGATCTCCTTATAGAGGACGTAGTCACAGCCCGCCAGTTGGCAGAGAAGGCACTCTAGTGTCACACGGGAAGGATTTGCTGAAAGCTCACCCTGTAAAGGGCTCTAGGTATCTCATCAGAGGTATTCCACCAGAAGACTGCCTTAGGGGTGCTGCTGTCCACTAGGTGCTGGAGAACCTGAGAAGGCCGCAGGAGCCTTGGTGGGGAGAAGCCACCCATGAGCTCTGGAAAAAATTCACGCACCACAGGAGCCCTACACCAGGACAGCCACATGTGCTGCCAGAGCCTCTGAGCAGACCAATCAGGCCCAGAGGCAGAGCCCTCTTCTCATTCAGTGTCTGTCATCATCCGCCGACAAAGCTTAGAACTGTGCTAGTAGGTAAAGGAAAAACATTTAAAGGACCCAGAGCCATTTTTCATAGATGAAGATAAAAGGGTGAATTTGAAGCTGAGAGGCAATAAATACACAACCAGAACAACATTGTGCTGAAAGAAGGGTATGATTTGTTTACATTTTTAGTTACTCTAAAGACCCTAACTTGAGTTAATTAATAGTTGAAAGTGAGCTGACACGTCAACCTGCATGCATATTGCTTAATTCCAATGCTACCACAGAAAAGGGGAAAAATGTCATATTTAGCTCACTGGCTCTGGGTTTCTGCAAATGCAAATTGAAAGAATTAAAGTAAATTTGCTATTTCACTTGTAATGACTGTATCTTTAAGTGGTTGTTGAGGGAGTGCTATATTTAAACTTAACTGTTTCTCAGAAGTCTGATTAGTCATTTAAAATGAATAAATCATTTTATATTATAGCCAGTAATAAGAAAGAAATTTCACAGTCAGGGACAGGCTCAGTAGTGTATATTTTTGACATGTCCTAATTGGCCAAATGATCTTAAATTGGTTAGTAAACATGATCCTCAAAAACGGTTCTACACAGTTAGCATCATTTCTCAATAAAGCAAATGCCAAAATAAATTGGAGGGTGTAAGTCATATAAATTAATATTAGGAATTTTGCCAAGAGTCGTATGTCTACACAGGTTCAAGGAGAGGAGGACTTGAGCATAAGATTATCATCCATTTCATCAGCATTTATCGTTCTCCGCTGTGTCTGACAGGTGTGTGTGTGTGTGTGTGTGTAAAGCTTCGTGAAGGATTTTAATTAAAGTAAGCATAGATTTAATGAGAATAAGTGTAAATTAATTGCCTTTAAAAAGCAATGCAGTTAGACTTTTCCTCATTACTGAAAAATGATAAAGGCTCTGAAACTAACAGAAGATTCTGGAATCTTGACTTGAATTATTTCAGATCATTCAAATAAATATAATGAAAACAGATTTTTGTGCAGTTAATTATACTTTAACTTTTAAATTACAATTTCAAATGGATTGGCCATTATCAAATGTGTGAATAATCAAGTTAAAAATCATGCTATTATGTGATAACAGTCCAAGAAAAACAACAATCATTTTATAGACCAAGATAGTATAGCATTGACTGAAAATAGAAGGAGCGAAAAATTGAAAGTGCAGTTTCCATTAGTGGCAAATAAATTTTCTTTTAAGGTCAATTTTTCTGTTGGTAAAGGAGAAAGAAAAGGTACAACCTCCGGACACCTGGTAAAACGTATTATTCGGCACCTGGAAAATGCCTATGTCTGCAAGTTATTTCTGAAATAATTTTTTAAAATACTGACTTATGCAGCTTTCTTCTGTACTGCAGAATTGTTTTCCATTTTAAAAAAGGAAAAGATTAAAGGCAGAAAAGTAGGATCTCCCATTTTATCATTGCTCTGGATAAGTGGAATATGTCTGTGGTGGTTTGTGATTAAAAAAAAAATTTCCTAGCTAATGTCTAAGACTTTGATTTTATTTCTCTCTTTTAAATTTAATGTCTCTCTTGCTTTCTCTCCCTCTCTGTCTCTCTCTTTTAAGCTTCTCCATGGGTTGATAACAGCAGAACTCCGAACAAGATTGACCTGTATGATGTACGCAGGAGACCCTGGTAAGAATGTTGGGGTGGTCATGAAAAGATGAAAAGGACAAAGTGAGGTTTTACTTGTTGTTAAAAGTTGGAGGGAATCTTTCCATTGTAAGATGAATATTTTCTAATTATTTAAAGAGCTCTGGTGGGGGTTTTTCTCTATTATACATTTGAATTTTTTATACTTTTAAAAACAATTAAAGCTAAATGAAGGTGATGGGTTCAGTGGGCAGCGATAATGAATATTGTTGAAATGATTTGTAAAATGCATTTCAAATGGACTGTTTTCAGTTTTACAGTCAATGTCATCTCTGAATCTTTTTTCGGCTGGTGGGGATTTCTGTTGAAAGGCTCCCAGTTTGCTTGGGGTAGGGCTCTCACAAAGCATCTAGATAGAGTGGACGGCACTTTGCCTCTGGCAGTGAACTAATGAGAACTGGCCCCAAGGAAAGAGCTGCCCCTAGTTGTAGTCACACAGCTTGGGTTTTATTTTTCCAGAAAGAAAGGGTATTTGTTCCTCACTACTAAAGCAGCTCATTCTCCTAACACATAAATGGAAAAATACCGAAGAACTCATAATTCTACTCACTCATAAAGAATTATTAAACTCATGTGTTTTAATTGATTTTTTAATGTATTTAGTATATAGGTTTATCTTTTTTAATGAGTTCACATGTTATACAGTATACTGCTTTGTCACCTACTCTTTCATATCAGTAACCTTGAGTACTTTTTCGTAAAACATTTAACATCATTGTAAAGAATGACTGTATGGTAACTTACTTTAAAAATCCCCGGTTACTGGATATTTAGATTATTTCTTACTTTTTGCTAGGGTTCAGACAAATTCTAAGACATAGAATTGCATAATGGTTGATACAAAGAAATGTATTTAAGGCTTTTAAAATGTCTTGTTAAACATCCCAGTAACAATTTACATGAACACCGACCATGTGTAATAGTACCGGATATTAGTAAAATATATTATCCTTGTTAATATTTCTCAAAGTCAGTGGCTTTGGAGCCATGGGTTATTGAGTGGATGCAAAGACTATGACATCACATGATTTGGGGTCAGGAGCCAGTTGTTTTGGTAGAAACTTAGAAACTAGGTGCCAAGCAGAAGAGACAGACAGTGCCCTGTCCTCTCAGCTCCCCGTGGAGAGGCATGCCAGGACCCTTTATCAAGATAGAAGACATGAACTAGATTTGTCTTCCATTGGAATGTCCCAGCCACCCTGCCTTTTTTACCTTCTTATAGGGAAACAAACTGGAGTACAAGTTCTGAACTCTGTTCCAGGACCATGTAGTCCTGAGTAGTTACGCTAGATGTTGTCTGAAAACTTACTGGCAAGTCATCTGGCAGGCTTGTGAGAAGCTGGAAGATTTGGAGTCATGGGCAATAAATAGAACATCGAGTTCAGATGCAGGCCTGTTGGGGGAGGCAGGCCGCCAGTTCCCCATCAGTCTGTGACCAGGCGACATGGGCTTTTGGGATTATTCACCTGCAGTTAAGTTTATCTCTACAGTGGCTGGACTATCTAAATAAAAGTCTCCTAGACTCTCTTTTCACATACAGAGAGTCTCAGTCTGTAGTGCTGGGGGTGGCTGTGGGAATCAGCATTTTGAGCTGGCTCTCCAGGTGATTTTTAGATACTATAAAGCTTAAGAGTCACTACTTGAAAGTCTTGAAAAGAACATTATATATCGTTCTGTTTTTAAGTACTTTATTGTTCCTTTGTATTTATTTTCTGTTGATGCCAGTTTTTCACACTCCTAGACCACTGATCTACTTTTGTGGGATTTTTTTTTGCATTTAAATATATGACATAATCTTATTGTTTGTTTTTAGTAGTATTCCTTAGAGTGAGTCTTACAACCTGTGGTCAGCAAAATGGAGTTTAGGATAACTTTTTTTTAAGGGAAATGGTCTTCCAGAAGTCAATTTCTTTTGTTCCTACTATTAAAAACACATTTCTTACTCCTTTTTCAGAAATATCTGTAAAGCATACTTCAGATATTATGCCTCTGACATTTCTGTCATATTAAATATAGCTTTTTAAAGTTGATGTTACAGAATTGTGAATAAAAGCATGTTGTCTACCCAGATAGAGTGGAAGTAGGGCCTTGCTTGGAAATATTTCAGCGACAAGTAAATAGCAATTGAGTAAATATCAGTGTTTGGTATTTTGCAGGAGAAAAACTGTTCATATGTTATTTGTTTCAGGTACATTCAAGGAGCTGCATCTCCTAAAGACATGCTTATTCTGGTTGATGTGTGAGTAGCTAAATACTATATATTTTTATGTACTGAGAATATGGGGAGGGTTTTAGATATCAGTAATAGGTTGGGACTAAGAAATAGGTTGGAAGAAGAAAGACCAAGAATAATTATGATGACTTTTATATCCAGACAAAGAAATCAACTTAAGACAGTCACAAAACAAATGAAAATTCTCTCAGTGAAAATGAGGGGAGTCTATGTCAGGACTGAAAATTATGGCATGGTTTTAAAGTTTGGGCTTTCTCAGAAATGACTAATTTGCTTACAGTTTTTGTCTTTATATTTTAAACAATATTAAAATCCACGGCGCTAAAACTAATCAGTTCTTGCTACCAAAGAAGTAGAATTGTTTACTTGGCATGTAGTCATTAATTATTTAAATATGTTTTAGGAATTTGACCAGAAAATAGACAAATATTAAATAAGTAATGTAAATCCTGGGACTTTGTCAAGGGAAATGCTGATATATAAGAAAAAATTCATGAGTTTTTATTACTGTTTATTTTGTTTGTCACATGGCTTCAAGTTAGATCTCTCTCTGTGTGTGTGTGTGTGTGTGTAATCTTCTATAATAACACTGAAGATGAAATTATAGGACATGGAAACGAATGTATCCTGCTATGGAGATTTAGTTTTTAAGAGAAATACCAATAGTTAAAAACTTGAGTTACAAAATGCTTAAGTTATTTTCCCTGAAAGGAAATGCCATAGTGAAGAAACAGAATCCATTTGGTGGACAACTGAATCTCTATCACAGGATTTAGTTTATGTCAGCCTTTGAGAATTTCTCCATTATGACTTGAAGCAAAAACTTTAAATTTATGTCCTAGCCTGAGAAAGAGGAGATAAGTGAATTCGACACATGTAACTTAAATATTAATTCTCATTTTGTTTGTTAAAATGCATTTAAACTGCATCTGGTTATAATTAAATTATCGTAGAGTTTGTATATATGCTAATCCTTGATGTTCATCTTAAGTATAAACCTAAATGGTAAAGCAATAAGTTATGATCCTATTGGATGTATGCTAATTTTCAGAAATAATTTATCATATTAAAATATTTGGGATCCCACGTGCAGATTCCAAGATTAAAAACATATATGAAGTTGAAATGTCAATATTAAAAATTATTCTAACAGAAATGTATTGAAGGTTTTCTATGTATAGTGTGATAATATAAAGATGATTAAGACGTGATCCTTGATCTCAAAGATGATTCAAATATGTAGTGAAATTAAACCACATTCATGAACTACAATAATTGTAGAAGGTGATAGATAGGAAATAGGGCACAGCACTAAAGGAGTCCATAGGGGAGAGGGTGTACTTCGATTTAAAGCGTCAGGAAAGACTTCATTAAGGAGATACTACTGGAATTGAATCCTTATACCTGATTTAGCAAGGCAGGCACAGGAAGGGAGAGGAAGGAGAGTGGAATTTCAGGTGGTTGAATTGACAGAAGCAAAGTGGCAGAGGTGAGAACCTTTGGGGGAACTATATCAAGGAGGTAGAAGGAGAGAGAGAAAAGATTACAAAAGGTTTTGAATGCCAGGCTGTTAAGATTGTTGGCTATTTTGTAGGTCACTGTGAGCTGTTAATAGTGTTGGGTCAAGGTATGTTGCCGAAATTCTCACCTGTTAGCATGGGGAGGAGAAGGGGCTTGGATGGATAGCATGAGTGTTTCCCTAGCTCAGGGTCTTGAGGTACTGAAGACCTGAGCCAGAGGGGAGAGAGGATGGAAAGAAGGCTGCTGCTTTGGGGGCACTGTACAGTGGGCTGAAGAAGGGAGATTGTCTGAATGGGTGGGCAGTTGAGAGGGAGAAGGAAATGGAATGACTGAGATCTAGTGTGCTAATACCAAGGACATATGTAGGAAGGAAAAATATGTTTGAGACTGATCTGTCATTTTGGACATTGAGCCTGCAGTGGTTTAACAGGCTGCTAGGAGTGTAAAGCTGGGGCAAAGTTGGGAGCTAGAGAAGTAAAAGTGGGACTTAATTACCTAGAGATGAGACCCATGAAGAGATGAGGTTGTTCTGGATCATAGAATACGTAGAGACAGAAAAAAAAAGAACACTAAACCCCAGAGAATATCTACTTTGGGATACAGAACAAGTCAGTTTGTCCACAAATTTATCTATTATCACAACTGTTATGCTGCTTCATAATTACTGGCCTAATCAAGTCAAACAGTGGGCTCCCTGGGGCAATGACTGTATCTGTTAACCTCCTTGGCCCTCACTCCTGACTGGGCTGACAGAGCTGGTGTTCAGCTCACATTTCCTGATTAAGTGAATATGCCGAGTAGCCATAGTTTTTTAAAACTGTCACTTGACATGTACTTTTCATCATTGTAGTTAGAAGTAAATGCATTCTGATGCTAGTAGGAAAGAAAGACAAGATTTCTTGTAATTTTAAAATTATAAAATTATAAAACTAATTTTGTAGTTGCTATCAAAAAATATGACTGTTTCTAATACTGATTTTTTAAAGGCGAAATTATTATTTGAATAGTATAGAAATGATTTACAGCCAGTGCACAAAATGCGTTTCCTTAGGGTATCTGATGTTCACTATATACGTGATCATTAACATGCATGGACCCTTTTTTTTCTTTTTCTTTTCTTTTTTTTTAGGAGTGGAAGTGTTAGTGGATTGACACTTAAACTGATCCGAACATCTGTCTCTGAAATGCTGGAAACCCTCTCAGATGACGATTTTGTGAATGTAGCGTCAGTAAGTATATGATGACTGCATTTTTGCTGAGTTAAATTTGCAGTTTCTATCTCCCTCTGGTGTTAAATACTTGAAAGTGCTTTGTCATAGACAGGCTGAGATGTTTCTGGTTCTATTACAAGACTCTTACTGAGGCTATTCTATCTCATTACTCCTGTGCTCCATACCAAGGTCCTTTCTGAGATCTTACCCATGAATGAAGTCATAATGAGCATGAAGGAAAATCAGTATATATATTCTCTTGAACAGTTGACACAGACCCCTATACCCATTGATGGCATTATCATAACAGCCAGTAAATAATGACATGGTAATATAATGATATGACAATTTTTTGTTCATTAAAATGTTCATTTTTCACACTGAACATCTATCCATAATGTATTATGTTTTTAAAGTATTTTTTTTATTAACATGAGAACAAATAGATATTTGAATGCGTCTTCTTAAAAGTGTTGTTTCCGGGAACCATTTTAGACCTTCCTGCTCTTAGCTAGAGAACATTGAACTCTGAAGCAAATAAAACGGGACAGAATGAATGTTACCATGTCTCATTTTAATTCATAGAACTTCGGCAGAAAATTTCACAGGTGTTTACCAGTGGTTATCATTTCACGTTTGAAGTGGTTGTATTCACAGAGATGAAAGTGAGGGAAGAATGATTTATGGTGAAGTCGTTTTGTGTTGAGCCGAGGAGAATGAATCTGTCTGTCAAACCACATGGGAGGAAGAAGTTAGAGCAGCTGGCCTAGGGACACTTTGCTCCCTTTACTGGAAGTGCACCCTCTGGGAAAAAATAGACAGAGGGACTGGGTATCATTGCTTGTCAACCAGAACTGATGACCACGTATTTTTTTGCCTCAAGGTCCATCAATATCCATTGCCTCGCATGTTCTCCTAGTGTCTCCTGGTTCATATTAGACAGATCTTGCATCTCTTTTGTTGAATGTTCTTATATTCAGAGACTTTTTTTCCACGTGGGCCATGTTGAGACCTGATCTGTTACTGCCTAGAGCCTTGAGGGGAGATGAGGTCGTATCTTGAGGATAGCAAGCATCGTCTGTTATGGTCTCTAGTAATGGAGAAACTATTACCTTCTAAGGGGAAGAGGTTACTTCTGTCTATCCAGAGGGTATAGGGGAATCTGGAAGTGTAGTGTTGTCAGTCGCATCCACCCAGATGTCCCCATTCGACTCTTGAGGTCCCATCCTTTGACTGTCAGTCCCCTGACTATTGCATAGGAATCTGTCACGGCTGTGAATGCATACTCCTTTATAACTACATGACTTTCAAGAGCCAATTCTGTGCCTGTTTCTAACACACGTTGACCTTCTCAGGTTAAGAGATAGGATCTCTTTACTGACTGCTGCGTAAGTCTTCTGGCTTTCACACTGTGTCCTTAGTTGATAGTTCGCTGACCTGAGGTTGTCACTCTTTTCAGTGATTTTAACATCAACTAACCTACTCCAAGTCCTTACAGTTACTATATTTACCATATTTTTCAAATGCTAGGTGCCTCCCCTTTATTCTGTATTATGTTCTAGTTACTGAAAATGAAAAATCTTAGAATTTATGATACTGTAGCCTCTGAGGGTTTTTTTTTTTCTTTACTCCAGTTGTCACTGATACACTGCCAGTTACCAGTGGAATCTTTGTTGCCACATGGCTGGTAAATGATTTGATTCTGGAATCCCATCCTGAGAATGTGTTTCTTAAGACCTCTGCTTGTATCAACTTACTTTAGCTTTCCCCTGAAATAGTTCATGAGACAAGGATTCAAGTACAAATGGCTTGAAAGTAATCCTAGGAAAGATTTAGAGAGATGTGAGAAGTAAAATTAAAAAAAAGAAGAGAACTAATAAACAGTGGATTTTCAAACAAATTACCACTCTTAATGAGTAGAGCTTAATCCTCTGGGCAGTTCTGAGAACCAGTATAGACTGCGTGAATCAGAATTATTCTTTCCAAGGGGACAGTGTGCTGGAGTATTTTAAAGTTAATGACTGTTCCCAAGGGACATTGATTCCCTAGTTTTCCCAGGCCACCATGTGCACGAGCAGAGGGCACCCAGACATCTTGGGCGGTAAAATTTGGCCTGACATGTATGGAAATATGGAAAACTGAACAGTGCTAATAAAAATATGTTTTAAAAGATTTTCTGACTAAGCAGTAGAGATGACTTTGAATGGATTTTACGCTTTCAACATTTAGTCAGCAACTAATGATTCTTTCCTTGTTAAAGCAGAGAACTTAGATGGGGTTCACATTGAGATTCTTAATGCCTGACAAGTTTTAAAGACCTTTGCTTTTCCCTAGTATATTATGGTTGTTAAATGTATATTTCTTTGAAGAAAACTGTTAACCAACTTCTTAAACACAGTTGCAAAGTATTTCCTTGCAATTTCTATGAATCAGGTTAATTGATAAGAGACTTTATTGAGGCGTTTTCAGCTCTTTGTAAATCCGTGCTGCAACGTCCTGATTTGATATAGCTTGAATATGTGAGCTGAAACCATTTAGGTAAGTTGAATATGTTGATTGTAGAATGAACTAGGGGTGCATTTGATCTGGAAGTAAATGTATCTCAATGTCTCAAGTTAAAAATTATGAAAGTATCTCAGTTACATATTCAGAAATAAGAGTGATATAAAAGATAGACAATTCATGCAAATTGTAAGGTAAATATTGCAGGAAGATATTTGAAAGGTGAAGTCATAGTGATGTCCCACCCTACTCCCAGAGAAATTTATTGCTGGTCTCAGTTCCTAGTATATTGACTTGTTCAGTTAAAGTTAGTGACTTTAATTTACTTAATTTTAGTGGTTTATGGTCCTTATTTACTGAAGGAGATATTTTCATCAACTATACTCTGATTTTATTATTAAATATATATTTTGTTTAATTTTATTATTGGAGACAAATCATTAGTACATTTACATGATTGAAAAGTCACTAAATGATTTTAAAGGATCATATTCTGCCAGACATACTTTTGTCCTTGAGGAAATCAATACAAAGATATAGAGTAGACATGTGTTCACTGTTTATGTAATTTGTGTATGAATCTTCAGTTTAATTGCATCAGTGGGGATTACTAGAGTTAAGTTTTTAAACATTGATCATGTGGCAGGAACCATTCTGTATGTTTTCCATAGTAACTCATTTAATCTTCACAACAACCTTATGAGGTAGATAATACTACTATCCTAAATTTTATAGGTAGAGAAACAGAAAGATCAGTGACTTTTTCTAAGTGAGAAGCCAGGATTGGAGAATAGACATCTTCCTTTATTAGTCTAGATTTATCCACAAAGTTACATAGCTGCATCCTGAAGGAAAATGTAAGTTTACTAATTTTATGTAAAATCTGATATATTTAAATATAAGTCCAAAATATTCTAATTCTTAGAAATTCTAAGATAAAATATGATAATGTTATGAAAGCAAAGAGAAATTCTTTTTAAATCTAAATTTATTATTTTCGAAGAAGAATGGTATTTATGTTTTGTTGGAGGAATTCTTTTAAGGCATTTGCTGTATTTTGGCTTGAGAAAGTGAAGCGAATATGAATTGGATAATTCTTACAATTGAAAATAAACACTTACACGTTACATCTGGATTGTAAGTTTTGCCTAGGTAGTATATCTTCTTTTTATAAATTAATTTACTTCCTTTATCATCTGTCTTTTGCTCCTATCAAACTTCATACATTGTTATTTACATTTATATAATATTTAATGTCAACTACATCAACTAATTTTTACCCTTTTATTATTAGTTACCTTGCTTTATTTAGGTGTATAAAATGCCTGAAAGCGATACATTTAAAGAGAATTGATTCGTGTGTAACATTTTGGTAAATGAAAAGTAAAATTATATTTTTGTCTCTAACAGGCCTTTCTCATTAAATAGAAGCATAACAATTTAATGATACAGAGATTCTAAGAAAGAAAAAATCCTTCTAATATGGTTATAATCTTCTGGAGTTTGTGTGTGTGGATATGCACATACATGTGCACGTATATATATATATATTTTTTTTTCTATTTTCTCTCTGAAACTGCTGCTTGAAAGTCTAGGAAAGAAACAGTTTAACTTTTAGCTTTTGTAACTTGAGGAGACAGTAATAAAGCACTGAGGAATCCTGGTAGTGATTCTGTAATTAACTCTGACAGTAATCTTCCCCCAAAGCCCTCAAGCATTCTTCTGCATCCTCATACCTAAGATCATGTCTGTCATCCAGAGTTATGGTGCAATCTCTAGGAACACTTTTCTCACTTTTATATTTATGTATCTAAGTTTCTTTCTTTTTTGTAAGGACGGTAATGTTTATTCGTCAATCATGTATAAGATGTCAGAACAAATGCTGTACCATTTCCTAGTGTTTCCGTTGTCTCCTGGGCTGTTCTTTGTTGCAGAAAGAAAACTCGCTGTGAGGCAAAGCTTAAATGCAGGGATAATGTCACCGTTTTCCCCAGTAATCCAGTTATACGCTTTGATAAGAGTGGTAGATGGTAAGAGCAGCACCTCAGTCACAGCATGTTCTGATTTACAGGCAGAATGTCACATGTTGACACCAAGAATTGAATTTATTTGTGAAAGTGAGGAAGTTTGACATTTTAGGAGGAAAATTCTGCAAGCCAGTGGAGGATGAAAGGAAAATGTATGCTGATTATGGACAATATGTGAAAATCTCACAACTGAAGAAGATCTGGGTCATGTGTTTGAATGAAATGACATATCTTTTTCTTTAAGAATTAGATATACATGTTATGAGTTTGTTAATGAGTTTTTAGTCAGTTGTTTTATGGGAAGCTTTCCTAATTTGTGGTCATTATAAAATGCTATCTTTGACTAGTCATCAGAAAGGAAAAATCAAAATATAATTCCTTGTATCTTCACTGTTGGTTTTAGGAGATAACTTAAAAAAAATTTTTTTTAACTACTCATTTCCACAATTGTGGTCCCTAAACAGCAGTTCTAGAAGTGACAATCCCTAA